TTGTGCTGTAATCAATATCTTCACTTAAAATATATATATTTTCTCTTTTGTTAGAATCTTCCCAACTTATTGTTAAGATATCCTTCTCAAAATTCTCTTCTAACACTCCCATGATTTCGCTATTCACTGGCGCTTCATTAACATGATTATTAATTTTAACTGCACTGTTTCCTATATCTTCTATAATCACTTTTTCAATCCCGGTTTGATTATAGATAATTTCATCACTAACAACTTCTTCACTATCAGGTTCGAGCTTAAGCTCTCCATAACTAACTATCTCATCACTAACAGTTTCGATCCCAATCACTTCATTTCTAACTATTTCACCACTAATTATTTTATTTCTAACTATCTCATCACTACCAACTTTATCACCAAGCGTTTCCGGACTAACAATTTTCTCACTAACTAATTCATCACTAACAGTTTCATTACTGACTATTTCCTTATTAACGATTTTATCATTTAACAATATAGTTTCATTTTGCTCGTGTTTGATATCTTCATCGTCCACTTTTTTTTGTTTTTCTTTGTAGCTTGTAGCTATGATATCATTTTTACCATTATTCTGGTGATCAACTTTATGCCCGTTCACAATTTTTAATGTTCTTAAATCAATATTTAAACCAAAAGAATCCATAAAATCTCTACCAAGCACAGCGTCATACCTCATAGACTCATTTGCCACAATTATAACATTAAAATAAACATTTATTAACTTTTTCTTCATAAAACATAAAATTTTTCCAAAATTTTTCAATTTACTTTCATTTAAACCTACATACGAATTTGCATCTGGCATACGCTTTACTTTTAATGGCACAAACTTTTCCTTTAAAAATGAAATAGGGCTGCCAGAGTCTATAAGGCATTCTGCAATTATTGATTTGTTAAATGAGTTACTAAAATGAATTCTTAAGTATCTTACATATTTGTTTTCCATATCATACTTTTTATTTGGACATCCTGCTATTAAATGATCCTTTGAGCCGCACGCATAGCAAGATCCTGCCTCCCGTTTGGGCTTTAAACAATCTTTGGCCCAATGGCCCTTAACATTGCAATTGTAGCAACGTTGTTGTTTGTCCGCCTGTGCTTCCTGTGCAGTTTGTTTCACTACATGGTTTCGTACCCGTTTAATTGGCAACTTTATAGCTGCAAACGCACGTAAAATTTGAGCCGGATTGGTAAAGCAATGCATACTAGCTTGAGTGCGCAAGTTTTCGCAAGGTATGCCTCGAATAATACCCTCCATTAACTCCTCTACATCAATGTTGATGTCCTGTGCCAATATGCTTTTTTCGCTAAAATATGTGGCGAACACCTCATCTGGTTTCCAAACCCGATCCTCGAACTTCTGTCGTAGTTCCGACTTCGAAAATCCTCCCCCGAAGGCCAAAACCAATTGATTTAGCATCTCGTCAATCGGAGCAATGATGCGCATAGGGTCTGCATGCAACCACTTCAAAGCACCGCCTTTCAATTTGCTTATACAAAGCAAGTGCTGTTGCATATCATTTAGTCTGTAGATCTTGGCCACATTGAAGAATTGCATTACCCATTTACGCACCTCACTTTCTCCAGTAAATTCTAATAAAATTTCCTTGGCTAACATCATCGCTCCAGTTTGGATGCAATTATTTAAGTTGCCTCCGACAGCGTTGCCACTTTCGTCGATCCTTCCAGCTGCCCCAGCGTTGCCCGCTGCACCAGCGTGATCAGCTGCACCAGCGTTGCCATCCGTTCCAGTGTAATCAGCTGCACCAGCGTTGCCATCCGTCGACCGTGGTCTTTCTTCAGTGTGACCATCCTCTAGCTGCAATAAATCGCCGACTTCACTTTCTTGCTCTCCCCCGTCGCTCCCGCCGATGTGCGAGTTGCGGTTCACCGTTACTTGAAATTCTTCTAGGAATTTTCGAGACGCTTCAATTTCGAGACGCATCAATTTCAGCATCTCGGCGCCATTTGCTATTTCGTCACGCTGTTGTTGCATTATGTTTTGCAACTCATTTTGAGCCTCAATTGTCTGTTCCTTGTTACGTTGAACTTCAAGTTCCTTTGCAGCATCGTCTCGGATGTCCACTGGTACCTTATTTAATCTCGCCATCAGCTCAGTTTTGGTACCCTCTGTTGGCAAATTTAGTAATGCCAACCAACTTTTCAATGTCGCTATTGACACGTCATTTATATTTATATTTTCCATTTTGTTGTGTTTTTTTTTTTTTTTCTGAGTCAATCCCACTTCTGATATTGTAATAGTATGATTTTCTTCGTTGATTTAACTTATGTTCGGGTTGCCTTTTTATTTTTAACAACACGTCTTCTTACTGCTAGTACTGTAGAGAGACTGCCTTCCACTTCTTCTCTGCAGCCGCTTTTCTTTATCGATATTTACTTATCGTACTGTTATAATTAACATAGATAGTGACACTATAATACCCTGGCTAGGGTTACCAATGATGCTCTTATCCTATTACAACAGTTTACTTGGTGTGCAGGTTCTTGTAGAGTATAGAATATTCTACTTCTTGGATAGCTCCCCCCATTTTGCTCGAACTATTGAGTATCTTAAGGACCTAGCGAGAATCGGACTATAAGAAGCTGTGTCTAGGGTATCTCCTAGTCGAGCAGTCGCAACTCTGGCAGTCTTGTGATTTTTGTTGTTGTTTTCGTAAGCTCGCGGCACGTTGCCAATTGTTTTACGATGCGTCTTAGGGAGCTGCACTGGTTGAGCTGTCGGGCAAACAAACAGCCAAATGCCAACTGCCGTGTTAACTGTTTGTCTGGTAAGCGGCTCGGACTATGTAATTTTATTTTTTTATTTTTATTTTTTGTACAGCCCCCCTTCCAGTCCAGAAATGGCGCTATGCCGTGCTCGTTATCGTCATGGAGGCGTGAGCAAAGGTGGAGATAATTGGCGTATTAAGTGAAGTGTGCGGACTCGTTGATAACATCGCTTATCAGAGCAGGGAACACTTAGCCAAGTGACTGGGCTGCCAAAGGTGGGCTTATTTACATGCGGATTATGAACATTCTTATGAACCTGGGCTCAAGTTGCGTAAGACAAGGCGACAAGAAGTTCGAGTTGAGAAGAATCAAAATAAATGCATATATATATAAGGCGTATTTCTTCATACAACTACAGGTTTACTGATAAGAATTATAAAAAGCGCGTGGAACGTGCTAATTCGGATAGTTGGGATATTGTTGGCTTCGTTAAATAAATTACCGCCAGGCAATTCCCGTCGGGCCCTTAGGCATGCCAGTGGGAACGTGCTAATGCGGATAATTGGGATATTTTTGTCAATAAGCTTCGTTGAATACAAATATCTATTTACTTAACAATAAGCAACTCAGAGCAGACAATAAATCAGCTATGAAAGATGCTTTAAGCATTTCATTTATTTTTATTGGACAGCAATATTCAAAATAACTTACCTAAAGTGTGCCCGCATTGGGCGCACTTCAGTGCTGCTCAATTCATTTACATTGTAATTGCAAATGAGGCGTCAATAATATTTGCTTAAACAAATTAATTGACACCTGCCGATTAGCATTGGCCTTAAATAAACACCAATGAATGGAGAAACAGCAAATGAGGAAATAATGTGCGGAGTGCGATCGAGCTAATTAATTAATCAAACGGTGTGAAATTATCAATGGATTACGAAAACTGGCAGCACATGAGTTTTCACACGACAACCGAAGGGAAGCTAGAAAACATGCTCAGCTGTATTGATAGTAAACAGAGAGTTTGACAGGAGCTACTGTTATTCAATAATCTGTCCTACTTGTCTCTGCCAAACATAGTATAGTGTTGTGTAGCGTTCAGTTTAGTGTTTAGTGTTCAGTGTTGTTGTTGTTGTTGTCTACTAACGTAAACTAAAAGACAGAGAGAAGTACGAAAATCTTTCTATTCGAATGTGACAGTCATAGTAAACGGATATGCTCGTCAGAAGGAATTTTGTTGTGATAACAACGACGCGTAACTTTCAGTACTTGCACTGCAGCATGCCTTGTGGTAGGGCAGACAATTTCTGTACTATATATACCAACAGTTGAGCTTCTATGGAGTCCGTCCGTCCGTCCGTATGTATGAACGCAAGGATCTTAGAACCTATAAGAGCTAGAGACTTGAAATTATATGTAGGTGCTCCTAGTGCCTGCGCAGATCGATTTTGTTTCCTATAATCGATAACTTACTCCGTTTCCAAGCAATCGATAAAAATCGATATCGATATCCTCTTTTTTGGGCAATTTTGGTAAATAATAAGAGCTAGAGTCCCCAAACTTGACATATAGCTTCTAAAATAGAATATATATATGCATTTGATGTTGGAAGAAGAGGGTATTCAGGGTATTCCCTAGTCGGGAGTTCCCGACTAGAACCTTTTACTTGTTTTTTTTTTTTCGTATATTTAAGACAGCGCTTTTGCAGTCCAAAAGATAAATTAAAATAATTGCTGCTAGAGCTAGAACACATAAACATTTGCGCCTTTGTTTATGTTTCCATTCAAAGCAATCGTTAAAGTCTTACAGCCTTTTCCCATCTCAAATATGTTCACATACAAGATTATAGTTAAGCAGCGCTAATGTGTTTGAAGCACAGAGTACTTAAATTAATGTTAAGGAAATTAAACAAAGCTCAAAAATTGTGCTGGCGAGAAGGCAAAAAAGAACTGTTCGTTCAAGGTCTGAGCTTGCGAAATGCTTACATATTTTCTAACCAATTAATTATTAATAATTTTTAAGAATAAACTATTTAAATGAATATAGCTGCAAAGAGCTCCAACTGTAGGCCAAGACTTAAAATTGATTTTCTTTTTACACGATTTGCTGATTTTTGATAACTTATTTCTTATGTCTGATTTCTGATTTCTGATCGCTGATTGATTATGTTTGTCGATGCATGAGTAATTTAATAATTAATTAGAGTTCAGCATGTGCTGGGCGAGTTTTGAGTCAATGCATTATTAATGCGGTGCGTTTCTTTACAGACATATCGAAAATCGTTGGCGTTGACGACATCGCAAAGAACAAGAACATCTGGCGCATGCTGCTCGGCGAGCTGGTGGGCACATTTTTCTTAATATTCATTGGCGTTGGCAGCACGGCGATCGGAAGCGCGACAGTGCCACAGATAGCGTTCACCTTTGGCTTGACGGTGGCCACGCTGGCCCAGGTAACTAACCACAACCCTCTACTCGCACTCAGATTGCCATCAGAGTTTAGTTTTGGGCCAATACTCAATAGCTCCAATAGCCAACACCGAGTATCGAGCGCTTTAGCTGGTCAATAGAAATAGCAAATCATGCGTTCAAGGACACGCCACCGCCGCGTTACACTTTCGGCCGGGCCAAAACTCATTCACAGATCGCAGCCACTGGCAATTGCACTCGCATTTTGGGCAAGACATTGGCATTTAAAAGCCGACCGCAAACGACAAACAGCAAACGGCAAACTTTGGGCTAACAACAAACGCATAAAAACGGCAATCGAATGCGGCGCAGTCGTCGTCGCGTTGGCTGCGTGCGAATGTTATTTACAAGACTGACAGATTTACAGACGCACACATAACCGATTCAGATACAATTCGAGCTCGAGCTGCAGATACACAGATACACAGATACACAACTATAGATTCAGCTGTGGTCATTAGCGGCGGCGCACGCTGCGTATGAGTAACGCGCCACGATTTTGAGTCCAAATACGAGTACGAGTATGAATGCGAATGCGAATGTGAATGTGAATGTGAATAATAAATGCGCACTCGCTGCAAAAGCGTCTGCGTCGGCAATTAACATTAATCAACACGCAAAATATGCAATTAGATTATTATGCGTTTAATTACGTTATGCCTTTTCATGTTGTTCTTGTTGTTGTTCTTGTTGTTTTATGAATTTTAAACGCTGCTCGATTTTGAATTAAATTTACGACAACATATAACAAAACTGTGCCCGAGGCAATACGCATCCCCTCCATTAAACTGGTCGAGACGGTTGTTCTCTGATCTCAGCCCGAAAAGATCTGCGATCGATTCGCAATTGCTTAATTAAGAGTCCGAGTTGGATGGAGTTGAAGGTTTGTAATCAATCATTGATTCAGGTGATAGGTTCTGTTTATTGACAACAAAAATAAGACTAATTCATTGACTGTGAAGGAATCAAAATTGAAACATTTTGAAAAATTTCCCTATGAAGAAATATGAAAGAACATAGCCGAATAGCAAAGAAATCAACAGGTAAATATCGAAGACTTAAACCAATTCGTTTATATTCCAACCAAGAAAGGAAATCCTGAATGAAATTTTACATATTGCAAAACTTAGTTTATAGCATATTCATGTTTAAGCTTAGTCGGCCAAAAAGTATATATGGGCTTTGGCATTTTGCAGGCGTAACAGAGATTACGAAAAACTGCTGTGCATAGGCCAGACACGTGTGTCCACAGCTAATGCTGCCAGGTAATTGATCGCCACACGAATGCATCTTCGACAATGCAGTCAGATTTCCACACTTTCGCCGCTTGGCGGTATCATCAGCGATTAGTAACAAATTAGTTTCGATTGGCCAATGCAGGCGAGCGACTGGTGAAAGACAGTCACGAGTCTGTGGCACGTTCGAGTGTTACGAAAACCGATCAGCATTTCGGCAATTAGTTGCAGTTGCACTTGCAACAATGACGTGTGGCACGAGACTCCGATTCGGTCTACTGGACTCTGCGGTCGACCGATTTCCAAATATGACCAGCACTATGACGACAATTTTCAGCTGGTTCGAACACTATTTTTACAAGCCCGCAACAAATGAGAAACGTGCTAATTACCAGTTTACCATTTATTGCCGTCTGTGCAAAGGAAAAACAATTTCAAATAAAATATACTCTGAGTTGTTCCGGCATACTTATTCGCCTGTTGCTGTTCTTGCATGGGAAAAACTTATTAATTAATAATCTGCGAATCTGAAAATATTTACATCAGAAGTAATTAATAATAATAAATGAGCGATAATGATAATAATGAATGATTTAATATTGAATAATGCACCTTCACTGATAACGAATGAGTTGATAATTAATAATGAGAGCTATAGTTTTTCTCTAGCTAAGATTGCAACCGTCGTCAAATTCCCCTTCGTTTGGTTGGGACTTTTGGGATATTCAGCTTTAAGATATTAAGAGTCTCCAATGAGCAGCCCTCTAATGGGATCTTACAGGGCTTAAATTGAGACAGCTTCTGATGATAATCTAATGAAAAATGTACAATTATTTAATTTAATATGTATATCCACTTTGATGCGGTACGTTTTATAAATCCCATTCTCTGCGATATCATCGAATGAGCTCGTCAGAGAAAACAACAACAACAACAAGAGCAGTATTTGTATGCAGTTTGCATTGCTTTGTCTGAGACGATCGTTTGACAAGCTGCCAAAAGGAAGTGGGGCAGAAAGAAAATGCAAATAGCAATAATATTAAGTACTATAAGCACAACAATAGCGCACAATAGCAACAACAAGCCGTAGAAATGCAAACATGCGACGATTTACTGACGCTACAACATTTGATTTTAATCGCAATTACTCGTAATTCCATATAAATATATATATATATATATATATATATAGATATACTATATGTTTGTTATATAAGTGTTGGACCTGCTGCGGCTAGCAGATGGGGAAAATTCCAACGTTGATTTTTATGCGGGCCAAGACGCCAAACGAACGCAAAGAAATAATCATAAATTTCGAGTGCCGGCAGTTGCTGTTGTTGAGTTTAATCAGATGCACGGCTCGCAATTAGGGATTGGCTCTTTGATTTACGGGCATTATTAGGCGACACACACACACTAAAATTGTGGGGGGGGGGGGGGGGGGGGGGGAATAGAACATGCTGCAGGCTGTCTCAAAGATGACTTCCCAAACTTAGTCAAGAGATTGAAAGGCCAATGCGAACTATTCAACTCGAAGTCAAAGTCGAAAAAACCTCCAGCGCCAATCAAGGTGCAACATGCAAGATCAATAAAAAAGCTAGTGTGTGTGTGTGTGTGTGTGTGTGTGTGTGTGTCTTAATTATGCGAGCAAAAGCAATAACAACATGGGCTACAAAATTGTGCGTGCACCATTCACGTTTTCAATTCAGAAATCAAACGATCCGCAAAACTGCACCGAAATAAACCAAAATGGCAAAGTCAACAACTAGCCGCAGCCGCAGCCGCAGCTCGAGCCTAAATCACCTCGCTTTGGACCAATGCTCGGCTTTTGGCTACAACGAACTTGAAACGCACAGCAACAATCACCAACAACAACAACAACAACAACAACTGCGACTAAAACAGCAACAACAACAGCCACAGTTGCAGTTGCAGAAAAGCAGAACGAAACAAACAAGTTAACATTCAATTTAACTAAAAAGCCATAAAATATGATTTAAGCGCAAATGTCGCGCAACAACAACAACAAATACAACAATAACAACAACAACAAGAGAAATACGCGCAGACATTCGTGCGCCGCCGCTGCGCATGCGTAAGCCTCGATCTATGCGATCGTTATCTCCATCTCTATATCTCTTTCATGGGTCCAGCTGCGACAGCTCGAACTGAACAGCGTTAGAAAGAGACAGAGACAGTGACAGAGACAGAGATAGAGGCAGCTAGTGCGAATTGATCGCTACAATCAATTTTGTGGAAAACAACAAACCTATACTGGGGTACTTTTAAATATCGTTCAAGCATTTTTTTACCCCACCAATCATTAACCCCCTCGCGCTAATTCTCACAAAATTTAAATAATAAAATGGTTAGTTGATTTCTGATATTTAATGCCAGTAGTTATTGTAATGTAAAACTAAATCCTACACAGCTTTTGTTCGATCTCATAACGATGTTGAACTAACTAACTTATATTTACCTAGGAATACTCAGATGCGAGTTCTTTGTCGTAAATAGCTCCCATCTCGCCCGTACCTCCCATCTCCCTCGTCCGCGTCATAGAGTACTTGTTGATGTTGCCCCGAGTGCAGACAGATTGCAGTCAACCGGCGTGATTCTCACGCATTTGACGCATGTTCTTGGTGCATACGTAAATCATATTAGTTAATGATAGGTTTGTGTGCCCCATCGAGTGGCGAGTGGCTTGCCACGAATCATGCGCAAAACCTCATGAGTCAGTCGCAAGTCGCAAGTCGCAAGTGAGGTAAACAAGCGAGTTGCGTTCTAAAAACAGATCTGATCGATGTGGCAGGCACAGGTTTTGTGGGCCGTCATCGCCGTCATCGCTCTTGATGAGCGAGGTGCGACTGGCAGCGCATTATTCACACGCAGAGCAACAACAAAAGCACATTTGATGAAGAGAAAAACCATCAAATAAATTGCAATGCGTGCGTACGCCAAATGCCAAGCAGCCGATGCAGATTCGTTGCCGGGCGTAACTCAAAGATTGCATCTGTATCTAAAACTGTTCGAACTGTTCGGCTTGAACTTGCTCTTTGCTCTGGCGCTGTAATTAGCGACGTGGAGCAGCAAGTGGCCAGCGGCCACCCCAGCCTCCAATCGCCTCCATTCGCCTCCAGTTGTCGCCGCTTGCGCATTTATTAATTAAACGCGAAACGCAAACACCCGACATTGGCCATGTGTGCACTTGAGTAGAGCCAAAGCCAGGCCGAATCCAAAATCGAAATCAAAATCCACATCCAAATCGCAGCGAACCGAAATCAGCTAAAGATATGGGGCTACATAGAAGCCTGCACATCGGCCTTGGTCGGCCTCCGACGCGTTTCGACGTGCTGCGTTTTCATTCATAAGACGAGTGTGAGTGCGAGTGCGAGTGCGAGTGCTATTAGTTCGAGTGTGAGTACTCACTCGCCGCCGGAGTGGCAATTTGTTTTATTTGATTGCTGAATTCGGTTCTAAGCGAACCACTTCAATGCTGGCTGACTGTGATGACTCAACAGAATGCGAAACACTTTTACTTTCAGCCGCAGTTAACCCTTCGGGTTTGAACTTTAAAGCCAACGGCATCGATCCAGTGAGATGGAAATCGGAATAGTCTTTGGCTACGACTGCACTCGACTGCATCTCAGCTCTGACAAATTGCTTGTATCCGCTCAGACAACAACTGCGACTGCGACTGCGATTGTGCAATAGCCAAAATGCAGACTCCGTGGCCAAAAGGGTAAACATTACCCAACCCAGAAACGCGACTCACTTGCCAAACGGCGATGACGTCAAGTGCGAAGCTAGCCGAAAACTTGACATTTGATGCCTGAGATCTGACTGAGATCTAAAGAAACTGTATCTGAGAAACAATCTGAAATTATGTGTGATTTCCAATTATATGATCATGGATTCCTACTATTCTTTGTATCCAAGCGCATCCTCCGATCGACAATGTAAGCGCGCTGATGAATGCTTTGAGATTTATTATCGCCACGACAGTTAACATTATTAAGCCTTACTTAGTATAGAAATGATTTAAATACGAGCTGAACTTGATTTCCAGCCGCAACATTTATGACCCCGTTCGAGACTGTAATTAACAGATTTCATTTGGCGATGTTGTTTACAATCTCATCTTGTCCATTTGCTACTATTGGCTATAATAAAGATTTCAGTAAATACGTGCATTGTTTTTGTTTATAAACAAACCGTGTCAGATCCGAATGGAATTTAAATATACATACATGTAGATATGGACTTGACCACAAATTCGCATACACCTCACGCACGATTATTTTATTATTAGTAGGATGACAAACTCTTATGCGTATATTGACATCACACAAAGAACAAACGAGTTCGAGAGCGGGTTATAGTGATAACAGGAGCAGGGCAGATACTAAAGTGAACGTATGACTAGAGCTTAGTCTTATTAGATTGCCAATGTTATATGTTAATTATGAGAATCGCAAAGTAGGGCGCTATTTAATAAACTGTGTGGGCAGTTAACGCATAAGTGACTGTGTTCGGTATAGAAAACTGCCCTCAAATGAGTTGGTTTTCCATGATTCTTCCATGTTTAACAAATGCATGTGTCCGTGCTTGTGTCCTTACAGGGCCTGGGCCACATCAGCGGATGCCACATCAATCCGGCTGTAACAATCGGTTTCCTGGTCGTCGGCGAGATGAGCATCCTGAAGGCTCTCTTCTACATCATTGTGCAGTGCGTGGGCGCCATTGCCGGGGCAGCTGTCATCAAGGTGGCTCTCAGTGGACTGGCCCCCAGTGGACTGGGTGTTTCCTCCTATGACGCCTCGCTGAATGTCGGGCAGGTGGTGCTGATCGAGGCTCTGATCACCTTCATTCTGGTGTTCGTGGTCAAAGCGGTGTCGGATCCAGGTCGCCAGGACATCAAGGGCTCGGCACCCCTGGCCGTAGGCCTCTCCATTGCAGCTGGTCATCTCTGTGCGGTAGGTGAACCGAGCAGCTGAATGTTCCGATCTCAGGCAAATACAACTTTTGTTCTTGTTCCCGCAGATTAAGCTCAGTGGCGCCAGCATGAATCCAGCACGCTCCTTGGGGCCATCCGTTGTCCAGAGCATGTGGGCCGACCACTGGGTCTACTGGGCGGGCCCCATTGCGGGCGCCATTGTGGCCGCTCTCATCTACAGGTTCGTCTTTAAGGTGCGCAAGAGCGACGACGAGGCCAATTCGTATGACTTCTAAGATATTTTATCCGCGTATTCCGCCCTCACACCTTCTCGCTTGGGGAAAAACCCACATCCTTGTTGTTGTACGTGTGTGTATTGTGTGTAGATGCTTATTCGTATTCGTCTCATTCAGAAATGTGCTGACATTCTATCGGAACGATCGCACAATTCACAAGCCACTTAGATTAGCCGGGCAAAAGCCGCACAATACAAATTATACAATTTTTATTTGTTGAAAAATAAAAATCGCTTCGTTTTAGTCGTACTAACACCTAAAATATTGAGTATTCTATGTTTGTAGCTTAAGATACATTTAATTCGCATGTTTATCGAAACCAATTAGATGCAGCACAAATTCGTGCCTCGAAACGCAGTTTGCTAAACCGAATTCCACATTATTTGTTAAAATTGTTATTGTCCAATTCATAATTATCGAGCACAAATAAACGTATTTGATAAATGACAATTGTATGTGTAATAAAAAAAAAAACTATAAAAATATTTGTACAGTGTTTCATTTAAGGCTTTCTAAATAAATATTTATAATAATGTGTAATTTTCTTAACCCAGGATGGCTCTTCAATAGCTTCAGATGCTCACAAGATCCATATGTCTATTGTGAAATCTGATTAATGTTGTATTTAAGTGGAAAAGTTTTTCCTTTTTATGAATATCAACGCCACAGAACTTTTCCTTATATAGTAACAGGTAATATATGAAACAAGTTTTTGTTTATAGTTAATTCAAATTATACAGTTTATCATTTATTCATTTATTTATCAACATTTATATCATCAACAAGTAAACAATTTCTTAAACATTGTTTTATTTATAGACGCATTATACATTAGAGAAAACAAATATTGCATAATTGTATAAAAAATCGAAAAAGCTCTTGTGTAGAATAAGAGAACAACGTTTTTGTTAAGTGACTCTTAGAATATATGAAAATCCGTTCAATCGAAACGATATTATCCTAATAGGGTTCTGCATTTCCTTCTCCAGTTCGTATAAACCTAAAGCCAATGATTCCAGAGAGAGGAGTTAATTTTCCTTGCTTATTGTTTTTTTTTTTCGCAAAAAATGTAGATTTAGAATGCAACGAATCTGTGAAGAGCGTACTCCCTAGAGTAAGTGAATGCATATTTAAATATATTTGCAATTTTAATATTCATTAATTTTAATATTTGAATATTCAATAATATTCATTAATCACATATATTGCATACTTCTTGGCGTGATATAGAATTCCAACTTTCCACTGTCAGATTATATTCGGAGTAATCACAATATGTTGCATACTTTCAGGCAATCACGGGATATTTATATTTCTGGTCTGGCGAAGGGAAATTTTGCCCTAAAAACTCTTGTCTCATTTATGTTACAAAAATGTTTCCATTCCAAAGAAAATACTTCTCTTAGATTTTAATAATGCCAGGCTCAACTGTAGACGACTGTATGTACTTTATATATTGCAAATGGTAAGCAAAATGTGATTGTGACCTTTGCAGTTCATTCGCAATGCATAAAATGTAAATGTCCCTTGATGGGATTACGTGCTAATTGAAGTTCAATAGCAGTTCGATTTGCATACGAGGCTTATTGCATTGCATTCATTCATTTATTCGGTATATTATTGAAAGCAAAAGTTCTTTGCGTCATCAGCTGGCATTATGCATGCAACAACAACAACAACAACAGAAAGCTAAATATTAACTCTATTGAAAACGCGACAGTAAATATGTTACAAGGTAAGTCGCGCACGCGTGCTCATCCACCCGCAGGTAAGCAATTCAAGCGGTACTCGCTTGTGGGTTTCACTGCTGATAAGCCGACGATTTCCCCTTTGCCCTACGCCTTCCCGTTGCCCCACACTGCCCACAGCCATTAATGAGTGCTACACTTCGAGAAATGCGCCATAGCTTTTGCAACTTAAGCGAGTCGCCGCACTACGACAAGAACAGAGCTAAAAACAAATTACTCATACGTTTTCCACGAATGCCATAAGTAAATTTAATAAAATGTTCACTGCCGACTAGCACAGGCAGCGGCAGCAGCGACGACAGTTGATGCCCGGCCCGATGTTCGACACGGGATCAGTCTGAAAAGCGAGCAGCACACGACAGCACGAGCAATTGACTTTGTAAAATGCAAGCCAAGATTAAGTTGCAGCTCTTGTGCCTGCTCTGGCTGATGATGCGCAGTCAGGTGCATGGACAAGACATTGAGCCCGAATTTCCAGAGGACTTTCCTACAACCACAAACGAGGCTGCCACAATCACCACAACAAAGGCAACAACAGAGCTGCCCTCCATGACAACAGAACGAACCACAACTGAAGCAGACACAGAACCATCTACAACTACAACATCCACCACCACCGAGGATGTGCAGATCAGCTTGCCAGATCTACCGACCTTTGCACCGCCGAAGCTACCACCCTCTACTAAGCCGCCAGTAGCACCACATTACCCGAACTTTTTTCCCTGGTTCTGGGACTTGGTTCAAGGTGTGCTGCAGCGTTGTTATCTGACGGAACAGGAGGAGCGGACGCATTACCGATGGACCTGCGGATGTAAGTATAGCGCGCGCGATATCGCGGGTCTGACCCCAACCCAATGACATATATTCCAATTCGATTTCGCAGACACCAGCTGGCTGCCAACAACAACCTGTTATCGCTGTTGTTACTACGGCGACAGCGGATTTGCCGGCTGCAGTAAGCTGCACAGTGGACGCTGTAACAATATAAACTACGGCAGCTGGGAGACCTAAACTTCGCAAATGGGTATTCGCCCTAATCGAAAGGGAGGGAGCGAGTGTGAGCGGGAGTGAGAGGTGAATGATTAACTAATCCAACATCGCTTAAAATTGTTGCACTAGGTAGTTCGAGACATTTTTTCAGCAACTTAAATATATGTATTAACAATAAATATTCATTAAAAGTTACGGGTATTATTCGCTAGACTCTAGCTGGTTCGATTGAGTATTTTATTAAATCGATTCCACATTCCACTCGAACTACAAGTAGCTGCTACACTTAGTTCAGATTGTAGACATTGCCCAGGTTCAGGAAACAGTCCTTCAAATGCTGTTGACACTCGCAGAAGTCGGGGAATGGGGGCGCCAACACCTCGTACATGATCCGTAGCAGGTCGACAAACTTGTTGAGTGCCTTCGAATAGTCGCCAGTGTCGTAGAGTCGCTTGGCGGTGCGCGTCATCATTTCGGTGTCCTGCATGACCTTGAGTCCCTTTAGGATGTTGGTGATCTCGCCGCAGGTGACGCACTTGATCATGAAATCGTTGCAGGTGGGCGGCACCTCGATGATGGCGGCACAGTTGTTGGGCGCCTCGCAACGGAAGCGTATAATGTCCCTGGGCAGCTCCTCGAACAGCGGCCAGCTTTCCAGGCAGGCATCGCAGTTGCACTCGAACCAATAGAGATCCTTTAGCCGGGCCTGACGATCTTCGCGCCTGTCCTGCGTGTAGATGGGTCCGTAGTTCTCGTTAATGGGCAGACCCGCCTCGATGGGCCGCACGCTGTTGATGTGTATGGTGGTGCCACGGAAGTACCTGACCACGCCCGGATCGCAGGAGTGGTTGAACAGTGCCAGCGTCGGATATATAGCTCCGCCAATGAAGATGGATTTCTCCCTTCTCTCGGCCTGGAACTTGTGCAGCTCGGCCACTTCGTGGGTATTGAACTGAATAAACTGCAGACTCCGCAGCAGCAGCGCGCTGATGGCGCTCACCTGCTCCGGCTGCGGTTCGCTGCCGAAGTAGCCCGTCGATTGGAGGCATTTGGTCAAAAAGCGCGCCATCAACACATACTGAAAGAAGTTCGACGGTTGCCGCTGCCCCTCATGACGCTCCAAGTGGGCTACTCGCCGAAAGTCGTCCTTGGGCAGGCTGCAAAGATGCACAAGTATTAGTTTTGGAAATTGCGGCAACTGTGTCTATGCTCACCTCAATAGCTGCTCCAGCGATAGCTCCTCGTCAAGGCTCGACTTCAGCTGCAGAAAGTAGTCCAGTGGCTTGCTGGCAATGATGCGCAGCGCCATGTGATTGTTGATGGAGGCGCCAGATCGCCAAATTACCGGCAATATGCCGCACTCGTACTTGTGGTACTTGGCAGACGCTCGCTCCTGGCACTGCTCCGAGCAGTAGATGACATCCGAGCAGCCCGGACAGGCGACTGGCACCACGGTTCTGAAAAATATGTAAGAAACATAATATATAATCTATAATCTATCTGACCGTTCACTTACCGGACAAAGCAATATTCGCAATGAGTCTGGGCGAATTTCTCGAGCAGCACGGCGACGTATGGATGCTCCACTAGCAGCTCCTGCCCCACCTGGACATCGGCAGCGGCGCGAGCGAATCGTCCCTCCTGCGCGTTCTGGTCGATGCGAACCAGAGAGCTGACAAATTCCTTTTCCTCCGGCAACGTTTGTGCCTGCTCCAAGACGTTGGCATTTTTCAGCTTCAGCTGCCTGGCTGCTTGCTTGGCCGTGCGCGGATCGTGCTCCAGCATCTTGATCATGGTCATGGCATCTAGATGCAGCTTGGAGCGTCTGTCGGCGGGCAGCGTAGAATCGTCCATGGCAGTGATGCACTTTCTGCAAATGAAACTAAATGTTAGGCCATCTCCTGTGGATACATCCGTCTAAACCCACTTGAAGGCGCTGATTGTGCGTGGATAGTCCTTCAGAGCCATGTAACAGCGAGCCTGGCGCTCGTACAGCTTGTAGATGAGCTCCTTGGGATACTCCAGCTGCAGAGCGCGTCTGATATCCACCAGGCACTCGCTGTGCTTCTGCATGTGGTACAGCGTGGCCGAGCGATTGGCCAGCGCAATGGAACGCTCCTGAACTGGTGGGGATAAGGGATATAATTGATAAGGGATATAATTGATAAAGTGAAGGCAGCTGCTCACCCTTGTCATGTGGCAGCGCCACATAGCTCCGGCTGTAGAGCAACATGGCCTCCAGCCACTTCTTCTGCTTGAAGGCAGCCGTGGCACGTTCCTTCAGCTCCGCTGCGGCGGTTGCACTTTTTCCGCTGAACTCGCGCTGCACTTGCAGGTCAGCATCCCCCGCACGCACCCAGGCCAGCTGGTCCACGTAGGCCACGCGCTCGTCGTCGTTGCCACATGTTGACAATTTGGCGATGTCCGCCTCGCAGCTGGCGCCGCCCGCTTCCCTCAGCTTGAGGTAGTACTCGGCAAAGAAGCCTTTCTGCTGGCTAAGTGGCATTTTCATGGCGTTAACTCAAGTATAATTGAAAATCAGAGAAAATTCTTAAATTATGCAAGTAGTGAAAATTTACGATTCGCTTCTATCGCCGATGAATACTGCAGTCGCACTGAACAGGCCACAACGTGTGGTATCCAGAAATCGGACAGGCCTTTTATTTTTAGATCGAAAAAAGCATGGTATTCAGAACACCAGAGCAAGCGCGC